TAGTGATGAAGGCTTAACTAAAATCCCTCAACAAACTCCCCTTTTTAATTAATTATTAGTTAATTATTTATTTAAGAAAATAAACCTTGCATAAAATCAAGTCTTGGTTCATGATCTTATAATCTAATTCAAATTTAAATTAAATTATAATTATTTAATCCAAATATAATAAAATTATATTATATCCAAATAATAATAATAATTATAATTTAAACATGAAATGAGTTTGGACTAATTAATTAATTAATTCAACAGTCCAAGTCGAATTTAATTGGACTAATTAAATTAAATTAATTTCTATGATTCAATTAATTAAATTGGTCCAATAATTAATCTCGACGTCGGTCCAATAACCATTTATCAGTCCATTTGTTGGATTCAAATTTTCTGTGTCTACAAATTGCCCCCTCGAGACTGGTCGGGACATGCCGCTTGATGTGCTTGGAGCGAGGAAGTTTTGAAACTTAACAAACGGTCCGTTAAATTCCTGAGTCCAAAACACATGCATAATATTCTTGAGTCCAAAACACATTCACGTTGGGTGAGCCCAAAATTATTTTAAAATGACATTGGTCTAGTGCATCTTGATTCCATAGGCCCAAACGTTTGCCTGGATAGTGGATATTTCATGAACCCAAAGTCATTTTAATCACAAACGATCAAAATGTCGCAACACGCTTTAATTCCACGAGCCCACTTATACTAAGCCCAAACCTATATGATTTTCCAGGCCATCTCAAATTCAAGCCAGAATCCATCTTGATTAGGATAAGTCTTCATGAATCCTAACTCCAACCAAGTTCACACTATTTCATCCGTGATTCTAGCAGCATAACTGCTTCCCCGCACGTTTGCAGAAATTTTGTATCGATCATATTAGGATTATAGAGTCCAACTCTAACTCCAATGCCTTCACCGGGCACTATAAATACCTACATCAACTCACCAATCCCTTCAAACACAAAGGGAAACTAAGGAAGAAGCGAAGAGCTAATCACTGGAACTCTGTCATCCAATAAGGTATATTCACCCTTTTTCTTTATATATATATATATATATATATATATATATATATATATATATATATATATATATATATATATATATATATTGTCTCCTATATGCAGAAACGATGATACATGCGGCTGCAATACAAAAGTTAGAAGGAACGGAGCAACATGAACGACGTCGGGAAAGTAACCTGGCAGCTGTTCACTGAAGGTCGCCGGAGTGGAGTCGCGGTGCTGGCAGAGGCTCTTCACTGAAGGTCGCCGGAATGTTGCCTACCGATTGCTGATGCCGTGAGGAGCCTAGAACTTCTTGCCAATCTCGTGGAACAACCACCGGAGAGCGGAACCATTGCGGTACCGTCGGAGGTGGATTTCCACTTGTACTGCTCGAAACCTGAATCATTAACTGATCGGGGAAAAAAATTAGCGTGGGATTCGAAATAGGGAAATCCCTAAAGTGGGATACCAATCAGGGAAAGTTCCTTTTAGATAGGCGACATTTATCTTTTGGAAATTCGGATTTATGTTTGGCGACATTCAGATTACCGTATATATCGTATAAAGTTTGTATAATACTGTTGTGAATTAAAGTATAATATTTATGAGTAGATAATAATACAAAAGTGAAACATAGGTACAATGTAATAAAATCATCGAAACGGGTAACACTATTATTATTATACGTCTAAAGTGTAAAGTTCACCATACACATTGTCATCAATGAAGTATTTAACCGACCATGGATAAATATTTTCCACATGACATGAACCAATCACCAACAGGAGTACAACGTTGTCCTCCAAACTGAATAAAACGACATCGTCCTCCATTGTATTAATATTAAAATGTGTTGTTATTTCTTCCCACTGTTCTGTGAAAAAAGTTAAAGATGTGTCAAAATATAGATCTAGCTTTCGTGATCCACAAACTATTTGAAGCGGAGCGTCTATGAACTCGTCGGTATCTCTGAGAAATGCAGACAATCGAGTTTTCTATAGTGACGAAACAAATAAAAGAATTAGTAAATAGTAGTTAGAAATGAATTAGAATGTTATCATCGTAGATTATTTCTTACCGCTCCAGGTTGTGAGAAATTCGTATACAAAGAACGGTGTCGTTCTACCTGAATTGAATATGCTGGGGACAATGCAGATTTGGCCTTTACACGTATTCGGTCTAAGGTAAAAAAAAAAGATATATTATTTTGTGGAACATGTAACAAAAATGGTGGATGTTCATTTAATTAAAGATTTACCTGGTCGATATGTTCGAGAAGGAATGTGGTACGCATTTGGTTGAAAATAAGGGTACCTCTTCAACATACCCTTAAAAGTATAACAAAAGGTTTCAAAAGTGAAGAAACCAATATATCTAAATAGCACACTGTCCCCTATTCGTAACGAATTTGCAGTAATGAAATCAGAAATTCCCGTAGTGAAGTGCATGTTTTCAACAGACACTTCAATTCCGAACGACGAACCATATTTCAAGATCACAGTCGTTGTGAAGTGCTGCATTAGATGTCGATACATGCAATTTTGGGATTTTCTAATGTAATTAATAAAAAAAAACAAACAAAGAAAATTAGGGCGCATTTAAAAAAATAATTTGGAATAGAATTGAAAAGGAAAAAAGTGCAAAATAAAATTAATTAGATTAATTTACCATGGTGACACGCGACCTAATTATAATAAAAAACCACACAATAGTAGATCTCGTAATATCCGGAAAATGTTTTTGATCATTGCAAGCTACATGAAAGGAAAGAAAAAAATAGTTATAACTACACATTATAAATTTGAAAAATGAACTGACTTACGTGAGGGAAGTATTAGTGTTCGTAATCCATGTTGTAGGACGTCATAGGTAAAACGCTCTGCATCTTGAAAATTATGAAATGCAATTGGTTCGGACACGTTTATTCCTAGCATTTTCATATATTTGACCCATGAAGGAGGTGCAAAACATATATATTGATCTTCCGATGTATGCTGTATAATTGCATACAATAATTTCCTCCCATTGATTGTAGTTGCGAAATAACGTTTCATATTATAACGTTGTTGGTTGACGCATGAAACCTTTGAAAATTCTACAAAAATATCCATGATCGTTGGAGAGAAACTTAAAATTGGGCAAGTGTTTGGCAATGGATTACGAGTTTGGAACAAAATGGTTTGTGCTGGAGGGGGAGCAAATTGAAGAATGAGTCGATGTGGTTATAAACAATGGACGGAGTAGGTATAAATATGACATTATTCGAATAAAGCCTTTGCCATAGGCATGATTTATACTGAAATTATTAGAACAAAGCCTAAGCCATAGGCGTGATTTATACTGACATTATTCGAATGACGCCTATGCCATAGGCGTTATTCAAATTGCACATTATTCGAATAACGCGTATGGCATAGACGTTATCACAGATTCCGTTGTTTATTTTGTTTTTTTTTGTTTTTTTTTTTTCAATTTTTGAGTTGTTATTTATTGCGACGTCGTATATTGCAAGCCAAAAAAAAAAAAAAAAAAAGAGAATGCGGTGAAATGGAAATGTGAAACTTGTAAACAAAAATATGTTAACATAGAAAGTAGAAACCATTCGCATTTTCATTTAAGTTCTGCGTACAAGGGGTGTAAATTTTAAATGTCACTACGACCGTGAAATAAAGCTTGGGCATTGGTTTGAAGAATGTGTCCTAGCGCGACAATACTGACATCGTGGCGTGGATCTTGAATGTCCATGGTCCATTTCCATTGGGTGCCGACGAGTTTGTCTTTGACCGGGACGCGAATCTCGCCTTGCAGATACTGGTGGAAGTATTGTAACATCACTACTCCTATCAATTTCATAGGTAGGTGGATTAAAATTACCTGCATAACACATTATGTAGTGCTGTAATGAGTAAACATTTGGCACGAATGAGTCGTAGGCAACTCTTTGAAATTCACAGGCAGCAATGATATGTGCACATGGTAGGGTGTTGCGGTTCCAATGGCCACATTCGCAGGAGGGTTCTGCCAAGCAGACTCTAAAAAACCGCGGTTGACGTTGCGTTGCGTGTTGCCTTTCTAGAGCGACCCCGTACAAGCCCATGGAGTCATTATATCTTTCTATGGTGGCATTGTACGCGATGGACTCTAGTTTCTTCAACTGCTTATTAATTTTGTTCGGCCAACGCAACCCTTTCTCCTGCATCCGCTGACCTGCTGTTCGCCTGTCCGCAAACATTACCCTTATCTTGTTGATTTGTTAATTATGAAATGTTGATTTGTTATTGTTGATTTGTTAGGATTTCTCTTCACGCCTAATTTTTAGGCAATATAAGAATTTGTGTTCAGATTTGTTATTGTTGATTTGTTAATTATGAAATGTTGATTTGTTATTGTTGATTTGTTATGATTTCTCTTCACGCCTAATTTTTAGGCGATATAAGAATTTGTGTTCAGATTTGTTATTGTTGATTTGTTAATTGTGAAATGTTGATTTGTTATTGTAGCTATCTGCTATTCACGCCTAAACCTTGGGCGAAAAAACAAATTTTGTTTTAACTTTCTCGCCTGAAAGTTAGGCGAAAATAGATATTTTTTCAGGATTTTATTTATATCAATTACATTTGATTATTTTTCCCCGAACGAGTGAGCGAGTACAGAATTGCATATGTTCATTGATGAATTATGTCGTAATATTAAGCTATTTTATCTTAGCAGCTATGGCTCAGAGAATGGTCAATCCCGGTCCAATCGACACTTCTATGCTGAGTGCTGACAATGCAACACAGTCACCGTTCACGATCAATTTGGACAGATGTCAATGTGGAAAACAATGCACATATTAAGTGTTGTCGCTATGAAGGGAATTTGGCTGAACCGCGACATCACAGAATGATCGAGAACTTGCGCCTTAGCGGTTTTTATGGTGTGTCGCTCATTAACAGCGTTAGGTTAGATCATTCGTTGATCTTGGCACTAGTTGAGCGTTGGCATCCGGAGGTTCACGCCTTTCACCTACCATTCGGTGTGGTCGGTATAACACTTCAAGATGTTGAAGTGTTATTTGGATTAAAGGTGGATGGTCTAGCTGTTACGGTAGGACAGCAACGGACTAAACAACAATGGCAGTTTATGTGCGACCAATTGTTGCGTTTCTCTCCTAACACTACAGATTTTCGAGGCCAAAAAAATAAGTATGACGCTGCTTCCGGACATTCCCCGGTTGACAGATGCGAGCACAGATGATGATGTCGCGTTTGCAACGCGCGCGTATTTAATACGCGTGCTAGGGGGGTTTCTTTTTCCAGACACGTCAAAGAGCTTGTTAAATCTTAACTTGCTGCCGTATCTGGAAGATTTTGAGGACTGTGGTCAGTACAGCTGGGGATCAGCTGTTTTGGCCTTTCTGTATAGAGCTCTGTGCAATGCTTCTGAGCACGCCAAATCTCATGTGTGCGGGTGTCTACTCCTTTTGCAAATTTGGGCGTGGGAGAGGCTGCCAATGGTACGACCTGAGGGCTTTTTACCCGCACATGACGGACAAGACTTGCCACTTGCATCACGGTTAGTATAAATATTAATTCCTTGCCTAAACTTCGTTTGAGCACAGTATATTATTCTTGTCCTTATTTAATTCCTCTTCCAAATGCAATTTTAGGTGGGGAGGACCACATGATTGGGCAACTGTACCGAACCACGTGGTTCGTGCATATCGCGACCAATTAGATCGCGTCCAAACTGATAGTGTAAGTTATTTTATTATTTGAAAACTTTTCATTTTTAAATGTATAATAATGTACAGTGATAAGGACTTGACTAAAATAAGTACTATTCTTTTGTGCAGTTTGTCTTCCAACCCTACCGTCTTCTTTTGCACCGCTTGCCCGATTATTGCAGAGCTGGGGAGGATATATGGACTGCAGAAGTTCCGTTGATTTTCGGTTATGTAGTTGAAGAGTATTTCCCCTCACGCTTTTGCAGGCAGTTTGGTGCTCAACAAAATATCCCGGCCCCCGTGCAATACAACCAGCAATTGCACGCTATTGACGGTTGGACAAATAATGCAACGCAAATTATCGTGCCATATATCGATAGGTGGAACCATCGCCACGAATATGTATTCGCAATGTTCGTGATGGACAACCCAAATGCAACGTGCGAATACAGGTTATGGTTCCACGCGCATGGTCGTCGCATCATTGGTAACCCAGAATACTGCCAAGATCAGGGTTACATCCAAACTGCGGCGTCATTAAATGACACGGTAAAATTTGTTACTTAATTTTATTATATTACTTAATTTATTATAACTGAACATTAATAATCGTTATATTTCATGTAGATGCATTTTCTAAGCCAAATGAACTTGGGTATGGAAGAAGCTGGAGATGATCCGCAGCGTCAATCGGACTGGTGGCGGGAATACCGTGTGGCCTTTCCTGCGCATGTTGAAAAAGTCGGGTACGGTTTTCTACTGGACTTCCCAAATGAAATGTACAATGTTGAGCCAGTGGACGCACCTGTTGGTCCTGGTCGCCGAGATCGACGACGTGAGCGAGACCATTTGCGTGGTCAATCGCAACAGGGTGGGAGGCGTAGGGGTGTTAGGGTAGATGAGGGCATGGATGCTCCGGCACCTGGAATGCAACATCCGGCTGCGGCGGACAATGTTGTAGGGGACGATGTGGATGCACTTGCACTTACAATTGTCCTGGGACAATTGTACGACGGTAGCGGCGCATTTCAAACGGGAGGATACACTTCATTTGATCAAACCGCTCAATTCCCTCACCAGTCGCAGGGATCGTTTGGCCAAATTTTTGACCCCACCCAACCCTCTTCTAGTTACCCCCAAGCCCCAAATCACCCACCATACGGCTATAACACATCTGCATACCACCCAACTCAGCTTCGTGAAGTTAGGGAATGCTCAGGGTGGTTTGAACATGGGACAACCAATGCAGCTAACAGACGACGACGAAGATTTTATATCTTATATGCACCCCCCGCATCAATGGCTGCAAATTTTTTTCTAGCTTGAATATTCAATTATTATTTCATGTTTAGATATTGATAAATAATTTCTCTACTGCAATATATTTTAGTTTAACAACATCATTCACAATAGCTAAATTATTTTAGGAGTTTGCATCAATTATTTATTCGTCCTTTTACTAATTAACATAAAATCACCAAAGTACTCGGACACCTTAATTTATTTAGCGTTTATTTTGGATTTATTTATCTAACAAAATTGTAATACGATCGTTCAAACGTAAATACGTTAATTTACAACTATAAATACGCTGGTTTATAAGTAAATACGCTGGTTTATAAGTAAATACGACGTTTATAGGTAAATACGGTGGTGCACCGTATCTGAGAAATATAAATGTTATATCAACTTTCCCTTAGGCGAGATATGAAAAGCCCAATCTCGCCTATGGGAAAGACACTTTCCCTCTTGTCAGGGATCCCATGTTTATAACCTTCCTCACCGGCAAAATCACCCTCGAAACCTAGTGTTGATTCGTCGGAGGTCGCTGATGTCGGAAGATTACTGATTAACTGTTGATGTCGTTCGCCGGGGAGCGTTCTTCGTTGAAGTCACTGGATATTCGTTGCGCCTTGCCGGAGTTTGTTCGCAAGAGCCGTCGATCGCCGGAAACATTGCTGGCCTTCACCGGAGTTTGTTCCTCGTGGTAGTCGCCGTTGGATCGCCATTGCAGAGTTCTGTTTCCCTACTTTTGTTGGCGCAGGAGATATTCGCTCGAGGTCCGTTGCTATTTTGGAAGACTACCGCTCAAGGATGACATTGCTCAGACTCTCGCCGGAGAATGTTGCTGTAGGATCGCATCGCGGAGGTTCATCTTCCCTACCGTTTCCGTTGCAGAAGGCCAACCGGTGAGCTGGAGTTCCGTCGCTGCTAGAAGTTGATGCCCAACCGTTGACGTTGCCCAGCCCCTCATCGGAAGTTCCTCGCTGCCAACGCTGGAGTTCCTCGCAGAAGTCGCCGCTAAACCGCCAACGCTGCCAGAGGTGGATGCCGCTGGAGGTTTGTTGCTGCTCTCGCCGGAGGCCGCCGTTGGAAGATTACCGCTCCGGAGACCATTCTTCGTTGAAGTCGATGGAAGTCCGTTGCTGTTTTGGCCGAAGTCCGTAGCAAAAACCGCCGGTCGCTGGAGATACTTTGCAGAAGTCATCGGAGACCGCCGGAGTTGATGAAGATCACTGGACTGCTGCCCTCCGAAGTCTTCCTCTTCTCTGTCGACTCCCCCGGAGATCGCTACCTCAACCAGGAACACACGCTGACATCTACTACCGCCGGAGATGGATCACCGCACCACCGTTGTTGCTGCGTGCTTGGGGAGAAGAAGCGAAAGAAGCACTGCATAGAGCGAAACACGGTGGAGAACGTATATTTGTGAGCTGGGAGTGGTTTTAATTACTTTGATGGTGATTTGAGGGTGACAACACATACTGACATGCACAGCCTACAACAACCACCTACCCTTTTTACTTTTTTTTTTTTCTTTTTAGTACCACTGGGCCGCCGATCATTTTTTTGCCTGTAAACACGTCGGAAAGTGGTCGGATCTTCAATGACCTATGATAGCAGGTCATTTACCTATATTGTGGCTTCATTGCATCAAAATGCATTGTTCATGGGTGTAATTGCACCTTTAAAAAGTTGGAGGAGCTAATTGACTTTTTAACAAAAGTTTGAGTGCCTATTTGACCATTTTCCTTTTTTTTTTTTCATTATAGAAAGAATATTGTATAATTTTTTTTAATTACTTGTTTGTATTATGTATAATAGTTATATCTTATGAATGTTACAACACAATTGATGAATATTCAAGAACAAGTGTCGGTTTTTCAATAATACCTATTGAGATGACAGAAGGAAATCCAACACCAAATGTCACAAATGTGGAAATCATAGGATTAGAAGGTGATGTTGAAAATGACGTTGGCAGGGAAGTTGAAGAAGTGGAAGGAGAATGTGAACCTTATAAGAAGAAGCAAAGGAAAAAATCATCACTTATTTGGCAAGAAATGACAGTGATGAGACTTGAAAACGGGAAGAAAGAGTGAATGCAATCACTGCAACTTGAAATTGAAAAGGCAAATAGATGGTACAACCACACATATAAAAGACATTTAGACAATTGCATAAAACGCAGAATCAATCTTTCAAGGCAAAGGAACATTTGAGTGGTTTTATTGACACAAAAATCGGAGAGTGTTAGTGGTGTTCAGAGTTGGAAATATGATCACAAGGATGAGTGAGGTTATATCTCACATGATTATGGTTCATAAATTATTGCCATTTTCCTTTGTTGAGTATGAACTCTTCAACATAGTCATGCCAACTGCAAGTCCATATTATGAGCGAATTGGTCGAACAGCAACGACAAAAAGATTGTTGGTCAACTTATGAGCTAGAAAAGAAACAAGTACAAGGGTTGTTGAATTCAGTTGACAAAATCACAGAATTAGTATCACAATTGACATATGGATATCAAATTAGAATTGTAACACCCCCCAAAACATGCTATATAAAAAGCCTAACACATGCAGATATCACAACAAAACACTAGCACAGCGGAAGATAAAAGGTAGCTGGACAAACGAAAATCTAAAACATGGGGTGTTATGCCACGTTTATCAACAACGATAAACGCTACGGCCAAATCTGCATGGTATACAACTATCCCAAACTCACTAGTCTAAAACTAAATCGGCTCACAGGCCATAAGACAAACGAAAGGAGCTACACTATCGGGTACTAGACATCGCGCTCGTCTAGACATCACCTGAAAGAACACAAATAAACATGGGACGACGCCCGGTCAGCGAATAATGCTAGTAACCCACCAATACATGTGAAATATCATACATAGGTAAGATATAAGTTGTAAAACCATTTTCAAAACGGAATACATATATATAAGTGTAAAACGAAGAGTCAAAGCCAACATAAGACTCAACACTCTCAACAAACAACACGGGAACACATCCCAAGACCACAAGAACAACACGACTCACAAAAGAGTCAAGGCATGATCTATCATCACTCAATAGATCAAAACCCGACAAGTACAACGCAAAAGAATAAGACTTACACAACCGGCAACACATGCCTTTGTGACTACATACGTCACAAGAGAAGAACTCATCACAATGGATACAATAGCCCTCGTGACATCACCCATCACGAGTTGGTATGCGTGCCTTATGCCCGGTTCCAACCTTATGGCTACCCCCAACCTTGTTTCTTCTTTCCAACCATTACCTCCAGGACCCCTGTACTTCTTAGTCTAACCTTTTCCCTCCGAGACCGTCGTCCCCCACCAACGAGACCACCAATTTCATAGTACACGAGGGTACCGATCACACACAGGGCAACACATGCCTCCCGAGAAATACGTGAACCCATCACTCAGGTCACAAACTCCATAATCGCATCACGGCCACCACGAAGACCGCTGACGTACCTTGGTGATTAAGGCCCCATAAATCGAAATCGTGCAATCCAGGTACAGCCACACACGCATCACACCTCAACAGGAATCAATCAACGGATCACAACGAAGATATGAAACCATACTCAATCAAGGAATGGATCACAGTCCAACAACAACAACGATGAATAACAAAAGTTATCATCCACCAATAGGAAGGTACAAACAACACACACGCTAGCATTTAAACACCGAACTAGCATGCTTATCAAACGGGTAAACCAAAGATAGTTCCGAAGAACACACAAGACACATCACGGTTCAACGAAACACAATGTTGAACACTTAGCACGATTCAAGACACCAAAACCTACATGGAATCCTACCATATAGTTCTAGACATACGAAACATCAAGAAGACACTCAAATAGTTCCACAAAAGAACAACGGGAAGTCAAAAGACCAAATACCGAGTCAAAAGAATCACGGGGAACAAATCCCATCACAACACCGAAGTGTTCCCCGCGGGTAGACCCACGGGTAGGCCCCTACCCGTGGTTCCGCCCGCGGGTACACTACCCACGAGGCCAATGTACCTGCGGGTGGGCGGCGAGTAGGGCTCTGCCCGTCGTTTCGCCCGCGGGTACATCCATGTGTCCAAAATAATCCCTTCGGAGATTTTCAACTCCAAGCTCAAATTCAAGTCCAAAACATGCCAAATCTCACCCAATACAACAAAATGACTTGAATCATAGGAAATGCCAAGCAATGGCACAAAAGAACCCTAAACACAAGCTCTAGATATGCATTTTCTCAAGATAAATGCATAAACACTCACATTTCATATCAAAACACATGTAGAATCTAAGAAATCATCATATAGGTAAGCAAAATAGATTTTGTAGAGCATGGATTACCTCTTGTAGACTAAAAGACTTCACTTTACACCTCAACAAGCTTCTCACAAGGCTCACTTTCCAAACCCACTTCAAGAACAAACCAAAAGATCATAAAGATCCTACTTTTAAGAAAAGACTTCTAAGATGGAACCAAAAACACAAGATAGACTTAGATCTTACCCTCCTAGATGCCCAAATAGGTGAAAGGTTGAATCTTGGAAGCAACTCTTGAAGTCTTGGCAAGGGATCAACTTAACTTGGAGGAAAAGCTACTCACCATTCTAGAGAGAAGGTAGAGCTAAATTTTAGAAAGTGTAAGGGGTAGAATGAAGATGTCTACTAGGTTAGGTTACAATACCAACACTAGGTGAAAGGTCAAGAATGCCCTTACTAACATTAGAAAGTGTAAGGAACAAGGGAACTCCCTTCAAAGGTCAAGGTACAACTTGACTTTGTAGTTGACTAGTCAAATACTAATCCTCAAGTATTAAATTTCAGGATTTTGAGAAATAATTCCTCAATCGAAATAGGATTAATTACTCAATTAATTCATGAATTGTTATTATAACCATGCCTTCAAAAAAAAAAAAAAAAACCTATTATAATCATTAGATCTAATCAAATCCAGTAAGGATTATACCACACACGTTCATAGCTAAATACTAATTCTTATAGGAAAACAAATCTATATATATTCGGAATTTGATGTGTTTGGCAGCATATTTTTATACATCAATTGCAAAACTTTCCATTAATAATCCAGTTATTATTATTTTTTTGGGTCAATAAGCTTATATTGGTTTTAATTAGATTTTTGAGTTGAAAAAAAAAACTAAAAAGTTTTAATATTGAGAAATTAATAAATTTTAGTCTCAAATCATCTATGTAATCAATTTCAAAATAGAATTATTTTCCTAATACTAATATGAGCGGGAGAAGAATTCTAATATACATATATATGGCCCTCTCTCTTCCGAATTCCGATCCCTCTAGCTACCGCCTCTTTCAAAAGAAAGAAATTCAAATCTCTATAACGGACCCTCATCTATCTTGATCTCTTATTCTTATCTTTGTTCAACAACAGAACACGCACTCTCTCTTAGGTAATTGGTTCCTTAATTTCTATGGATTCTTCAATGCCAACACCGGTAACCTCAGACGACTCTTCGTCGTCGTATTCATCTGTGGCGGCGGCGACTCTCCCCACTCTTCTTCCTAATCATCCTATCAACATCTCGGAACTGGAGTGGAGCTACCACGACTTCATTGGGTTTGGGGGCTTTTGCGATGTGTACAAGGCCTTCCACCCGCCGAGTGGCAACAACTATGCTTTGAAGTTGCAGCTCACTGTAACGCTTGGAGATGACGTGGTCCGCCAACATTTCAATCGCGAGATCGAGCTACTTCCAAACCTTGACCACCCCAACATCATCAAATTCTTTGGCTACATGATAGATGACGAGGACGATTTCCGTACCCAACTGCTCCTTGAGTATATGGACCTCGGCTCCCTTGAACTGAAACACTTCCCAAACGAAGCCTATCTCTCTGCCGTGGCCAAACAGATTCTTTCAGGTCTTAATTACCTCCACACTCGCGGAATTGTTCATCTTGATATCAAGCCTGCCAATCTCCTCCTCAACTCTCAAGGCCGGGTAAAGATAGCTGATTTCGGAACTTGGAAAATCCTCAACTACAAATCTATGGAAACCTGCAAACTCTCCCCCGGAACGGCGGAATACATGAGCCCTGAGAGGATCCACGACCTCCTCTTGAAACAGGGGCTGCCTGAAGCGCATGCATATGCAGGGGATATATGGAGCCTTGGGTTGAGCATCTGGGAGTTATACGTGGGGAAGTATCCATTAGGTGACCACTTAAAAGGAAATTTGGCAGCTGTCAAGAGCGCTATTTCTGAGTGGGAGTTGATGCCTCTAGTGATGCTGATGCCGGACACGACTTCGCTAGAGTTGAGAAATTTCATTGCCCGTTGCTTGGAGATACATCCTGAGAATAGGTTGAGGGCCGGGGATCTGTTGGGCCACCCCTTCATTTCCAAGTACCAAACCAACCAGCCTCTCATCTGAAATCATGCATTTATCTTATCTTGGCATTGGCCCACTAGCTTAGTTGCTACCTTCACTTGTTCAGTTGTTCTTCATACTTCACTGCCAAGATGATTACACACTTAATTAGTTCAAATACACTACTTATAAACTATTCTTATCTTTGAGTTTTTTCACACTTGAATTCCTGTCTGAATCTAAGTCATCACCAGATTTTCATTTTCCAGGAAAGAACACTTTCATGATTTCCCTAACTTCCATTTGTTATTATTGGAACCAGTGAATCACGTATGGAGATTCCTAATTGGTTTAACAACAAAAATAAAGTCAGAAAACATCAATACGAGAATTTAAGTGTTTTTCTTATTCAACTGCTAAAAGAAACCAACAAATTGTCCAGCAGATTAAAATATTACAAAAGATTATAATTTGGAATTCATCAAATTCCCTGTTAGTTTTGACCTATGTCCATGTAGGCATATATTACACGATGAGCAAGAAATACTTCTTGGAAGCGCCTATATTGTTAATCTTAAATTATGAAATCATATTTAAACTAGAATTTATAAATTATAAGTATCCAATAAAGTTTTACATCAAGACGAGCAATGAATAAACATCAATAAATAAATATTATGTGCTTTTACATAAGTGCTCAAATTGCAATTCAGTTACTTATTGTGTGCTTTACATAATTGCTCAATTAGAATCCAGTTACTTTAGTATGCTCCCAATTTTGAAAATGAAAAGTGAGAGAATAACTGCATGCAACAGTATGCAATACTTAAAAGCAACCTGGCCTTTCTGGGTTAAAATTGCTCTGGCGGAGACTCATTTTTGCCTCAATAGATTTCTTGAATTCCTCAAGGCGGGCAACAGTTTCCTGAAACATCACAAATTCGCAAACAGTCTTTATAACTTAATATTATCATTAAACAGTTGGTGGAATCAGTTTCAAATGCCATATCTTAGAACAAAAGTGGCATGGCATTATACCTCATCTTCATGTTTCTCTTGGTGTCCACCTCCAACATGGCCTTCATCCTCTGCATTTTCCATCCTTATACTAGCAGCAATTGTCTATCAAAGAAACAAATCAAACCTAAATATTAGAATGCATCTCTTTACACAGCTTGCTTAGTATCTCATAACAACAACAACAACAACAACAACAACTACAAGAAAAAAATCTCAGACACTAACTTCAGCATACACACAAACACTTATTGCAGATCAAGAAAGAGAAATGAAATGCAATTACTTCTAAGGTTTTCATTCCGAACAAATACAGAGTACATTTCCATAAAAACGTGGAGTAAAAATAATCTCGAAACAAATTAGGGAATTCCACACGCATCAATTCGAGACAATAGCCAAGAAAACATGAAAAATGAGTATGAAAATGAAATGTTATGTGAGTCTGTAACAAAACCTATTGCTACTTGGGATTTCGTGTGGAATATTAGAGCAAGAAAGTCGAAATTTGAACAGAAGAAGATCATAAATTGCAATTATTATTATGAGCCTACCGAGCAGGCTCTAGAGCTTTACCTTTTCACCTAGTCGGAGAGTTCTGAGCTCAGAGCTTACAAATCATGGAGAATGGGAAAGAGAGTGTGTTCGTTTAATTGTTTCTGTAGAATAAAATCCCGCGATGGAGAACCAAATCGGATGAATCGCTAGTCATCATCGGGTTTTATTGCTCAAAAGGTTGTTTTGTAACATATGAGAAGACTATGACTTGAGGTTAGGCTTAATTGGGCTAATGAACCAATTAAGAATTGACACTTAGAAGTGCAAGGTATAATCATTATACCTTCCACCATGGCGCACAGTGCACTGTGCGTCCCACGCTTCCTAAAACGATGTCGTTTTGGAAGGGCGGTAGGAAGTTGATATGATTATGTATATTTGTTTATACAATTATGTATATTTTTTTTTATACAATTATGTACATCCGAATCAGAAAATTTTTGTGTATTATGTTAAGAGTTGATGTGTATTATGTTAAAAGTTTATGTTTATTATGTATTATGTTAGATTATGTGTATTATCTTTTAAAAAATAGTATGTGTATTTTGTTATATAATTATGTACATTCATGTATACAATTATGTGTATTCTAGTATAACATTATGTACATTTTTTAACATGAGATTTTTTTTAAGGAAAATGACTCTACATACTTTTAGCCTGCATTGAATCCCTCTCCGGCCATAGTACACGTACGACGGGTGAATTCGTCGGTTGGGAAGGTTTTTTGAATGGGATAAAAAAGTATGACCTTTTTTTTTGGGATACAAACATAGGACATGCGTCGCGTGCTTTACACTCCAATCAATATTTGCATTACCCGAACGACCGTCTGTTTCATGCAATTTGTGACTATATGTCACATGAGTGGGGACATCTTGAAGGCCATGAAATTGTCTACAAAACCTATATGGGTAATGATACTCAACAATGTAAAAGAAAATTAGAGGCACCCGGGCTGTCCAAAACTCTTGCCCTGCTTTGCAATAATGGGGCAAGCTATTCAAGATTGGTACTGCTAATTCTACGCAAGCAATATAAAATAAACCCGAGACCAATTAAAGCAAGTAAAAGACTTTATTGATCACGGTAAAGGCCCTAAGTACAATCTACTTGGTTGCTTTGAGTACCGACTGACTGCGGTCGGGATTCTCTAGTAACAACCTATCGATCGTCCAAAAGTCCCCTACACTGTAGCTACTGTGGGTATTTATAGCCGCTGTGCCTGGAGACACGACTCCGGTCGTTCGGCATGTTCTCCACGTAGCCACCACGTGTCATCCTCCCAAGTGCCCTGCCTGTCGTCGTAGAGAGCCGCCACGTGTCCTGTACCAGCTCTCTCGCCAAAGGGCTACCGCTCGGTGGTCGACACTACCGCTCGGGCAACTCCCGGTCGGACCCCGACCGGGTTCTTCACACGAAGCCCGACCTGTTATCTGAAAAGACAAAGAAGAAAGAACGAAGGCAGCTTGATCGGGGTAAAGCTTATGTTGGTCGGGATATCTCCTACCAAAAGCCCCCCAGCCCGGGTCTTTTTGACCGTCCGGGAAAAATGGGACGGGATGACGAAGCCCTAACGTCGGCCATCCAACTGACCGGCCAGCTGTCATTCCTTCCCCGCCACGTGTCGGCCACTGCCGGCCTTGGCGACCGTAACGGTCGCCTCGGAGTCAGTGCGGGTCGCGTCACGCAAGTGGACCTGTTTTCCCGCCTAAACGCTCCCCTATAAATAGGCCCTTGAGGCCTTCATTTGAACTTTCCTCAATCCACTGAAGCAATCGGTACCCTCAGAGAGTCCCGAGCGGCAGTTCAACGATCCGATCGAGCAAAGCGAACTTCAGATTTCCTTCCAAGTATCATCAATCGGTAAGCTCCTAGCCCCTTATCTTTTCCCTCATTCTTAACTTGGCGTAGAAGTAGGATAGAACTAACTTCGAGCTAACTTCCCGAACCCTGTACTAACCCCGACCGGCCTTTAGGTAGAACCATATGTCGGACTCGGATAGCCAAAACGTTTCGGTCGCGGACTGCGACCACGGCTTCGAGCAAATTAGCGACGAAGAGGTGGAGATCATGCCTGATTCTCCTGAAATCGTTCGACGACCGGGCAAGGCTCCCGAGCGAGCCCCCGAGCAGCAGGGATCCTCGAGCTCAAGCGAATCTTCGGGATCGGGCTCGAGCAGCTCGGGAAACTCAGGCCGCGAGAGTGGGGTCGCAAGAGAGACACCTACCAGGGTGATAGGGGATCACCCGGGAACCGTTCCCCAAGGAGACGAGCCTTCGGGTAGGAATGATCCGGTCGAGGAAGAGGTGAGCGAACCGGGGACCAGCAAGGATGACGGGTTCGTATATTTGAACAGCGAGAGCGTCGCCCAACAGATGAGCGAACTGACGCACGGGGAAGCCGCACGGATCGCAGAAAGACTAGGCGGTCGAGTGGAGTTCGACACTAGTCGGCGGCTCGAAAACATTATCGACCGCCACCGGGGCAAATGGATCGGGATGCACTACGACTCCCTAATGGCCCCGGTCGTCTTCCCGTTCACGGGCATCTTGACCGCTTTCCTGGGTTACTACCAGGTCATGCCAGCCCAAATCTGCCCGAACTCGCATCGCATCATAGCGTGCTTCCCGCAGATTTGTGCTCGGCACGGGGTACACTGCACGATGGAGCTCTTCAACCACATCTATCAGGTGAAGGTCCTCTCGGGCAGCTACGGAGGGGGATTCTTGATGGTGCAGTCCCGAGAGGGAAAATGCTCGATTTCAGGCTTGCCCGGGAACAACAAAGGGTGGAAGAAGAGGATTTTCTCGGTCAAGTATGACCCTTGGATCCTCCCGACCAAGAGAGTTTGGAGTACCCGCTTTAGGAAGCAAGTTACGCCGGTCGAGACTCCGGCTCTTCGGGAAGCTGAAGCCCGGATCTCAAGCGAGATCCACGAATACAAGATCTTCCAATCGGCAGAGAAACTGGCCGCCGCCCGGTTACCCGACCCGGTATACGGCCTGAAGGAGAAATACAAGCCCGTGCCGATGGGCTTGGTGGTAGCAGGTCCTCCTGCTCGGGGTAAACGGAAGAAGACATGTCTATCCTTAACTAACTCCCCCGCTCACAACTCCCCGAACAACAAACTTACTCCCGACTTAACATAGTTGCTTCTTTTTTGCAGATATGGCGCCAAAACGCTTTAATAGCGGAGCTCCGAAATCTCCTCCCCGAACAAAGATAACCTTGGGGAAGAAGAAGACGACTGCCGGGTCTTCGGGAGGGGATTCCATCCCGGTCGCCCGACCCTTGTGCCCCATCCCGATCATCACCGATGAGGGCGGGGTCCTGGAAGGTTCGGACACCCTGGTCACCCGCGTGACCAGCAGGCCAAAAGGCCAAGTGACGGAGAGACCGGCGGAGGACGCAGCCGGGAGCAAGAGGCAGAGGACCGAGAAGAGCCCGACCCCGGCGGTCGGGTCGGTCATGGCTGATGCCTCCGTGCTATCTCAGATCGGCAATCTGACGCCGGTCGAGATAGACTTGACCAAGCTGAGCCCGACCCAACTGGCAGAGCGGCTCGGCCGCGAGCTGGCCGAGGTAAGAATTTTCCCTCCTTCATTTTATACGAAGGATCTTCGACCAGACTAACATGCTTATCTTTGCAGGCATCACGGGTCGGGGCGGCCCTTCACGGCCAGGCGTTATTGGCCACGGAGGCCATACGGCTAAAGAAGGTCGCCGACCGGCGATTCAAAGAGCTGGAGGAGCTATCTGCCGAGCTGAAGAAAGCCGAGGAGGCCCTAAAGAAAGCTCGGACCGAGCGGAGCGCCTTGTCGAAGGCGCTACAAAAAGAGAAGGAAGCTCGGGAAGAAGCGGTCAGACGAAGCACGGACCCGACTGCCGCAATCGAGCACTTCTTCCGGGAGGTCGAGCCTGGGATGGCTTTCATTCGGCAGATGCGGAAGAACGCGGTCGCGGATGAGCTTTTCTGGTCCTTCAGTCACTGGGCTTACAATAGCGGCCAAAGGGACATGAGGGAACGAACTGAGGCTAACATGAGGGAGGCCCTTGAAGGCGATGACCTCGAGCTGGTTCTGACCACCCTCTCGACCGAAGTCCCCGACCCCGGGCTAGACCCCTACGATCCGGAGATCGAGATCGTTGGCCCGAGTGGGGCTGCTGTTGAGAAGCCTTCCGACCCGACCGCTGCCGAAGCCGCAAAGAAGTGAAGGCCACCGGTTTCTTTCCTTTTTTTGTAAACGCTTACCCGGGAGCCCGGTCCCGAGTTGTACCGAGCACCTTTTAATTAATGACAACTTCTCTTTTGATCCAATTATCTTTCGTTTTATGTTTTCGTTTTATATTTTCATTCCCAACCATGCGCACTCCAATCGTAGACTCTCGACCTCATCGTAAACTCCCGACCTCACGGCCATCTGGCCCGGTCTCGCAATACTCGACCCCGTTGACGCCCAACCTTAAGGCCTTATAGCCCGGTCGTGCGTCTGAGGTCCCGTCGTGAAACTGGCCAACCCGATCTCCAGGCCTTGACGAAATTTTTGAAAAATAGGTAAGCCTCCACGGTCAGGATATATCCGAGCGACGGGCTTACAGATACTTCCTTCATCCCAGCCCCCACACTATTGTGCGCTCGAGGCACGAGTGGGTGCGATAGTGAAAGAAGTTGGACGGATCGGGGAATTGTGCTGAGAGCTCCTGGCTTCCCCGATTAGTGGCGTGACTCAAATGTCCGCCGATGTGGAGCGCATTTGACCGGTCGATAGATTCGCCCGGTCGATGTAACTTGGAAGATGAATTGATCTGCGTGCACTAAAGGTAAAGAACATAACCGACCGGGCCGCCGCATGCAAGCGGTCGAGCAATCACCGATCGTATATACATTAAACCTTCCCGCTCGCAGGCGGTTAAATAAATATTTACAATCATAAAATTTAATTACAAATGACGACCGGGACTAACTCGCAGGTCGAGCCCCCACTTCGTCTAGAGATTACAAAAAATAGGCTAATGCCTAAACATAACGAGGTGCTCGGAATTCCAAGTCCCTCAATTACCCGACCGGTTGTCGTCTCCAGTCGGTATGTACCCGGCCGTATGATCGCGCTGATGATATACGGCCCTTCCCAGTTCTGAGCTAGCTTTCCGCCCTC